TCTCTATGAGACCGACCAGTCCATTCCAGGATGATCTGAGCTAAAACCCCGTCATTTATGGGGGCCCTGCGAAAAAAGAAAAAAATCTTATCAATTTACAACACAAAGTAAAAGACAATGATTCATTTAAATTAAACAAAACCAGTTGGCTCGTAGCACGTAAAGAGTATGGGAAAACAGAAAAAAGAGTGGTCGTTTTACTTATCACTCTGAGATTTGGAAATGATGATGATATTTAAAGCCATTTGGAGATAACATAAGTGATTGGCGACCTATGAACATCATGGAAATGTACACGCGCACAGAACAAGAAAATAATAAACACGCGGAAACGGTCACAACTCAATAGAATAAGTGAAATAATTTAACAACAGTTCTGATCCGATCCATCTATTGTACATATGAGAATGAATGAAGAAATACCCGAGCAAAAGCGCAGTTCATAAAAGATAAATTATTATTCCCTAGGTACCTGCAGGATATCATCAGGCTTATCTGAATGTACGCCAAAGCTTTCCTTACACATAGATATTTGCAAGCTGGCCAGCAAAAAAGAAGGAATGGCTAGCTAGCTGAAAGAACATAACACATGGGATTATGAACCCTGATGGACCGTAAATCACAACTAGACAACATAAAGCTCGTATCGAAATGACAACGAGACAATCACCAGAACTATCAGATCGATAGACCACATCAACCCATCAACCAAAAATCAATAAAAACCTGATACGAACAAGGTGTGGTCAGTGATCGTCAACGAAGAATACCAGTAAACAGATAGGAAGGACGGTGTCCGAACCATGAGAACCAGATTAATCCAACCTGAGCGAACGATGAAGCAAAGGACCTTCTAGGACTTTCGAAGGGACTTCGATTGAGATCACAGGGGAACGTGATTCCAGTTTCTCTTTTGATCCGTCCGCAAATCCAATATTTGCGGGTAATGATGAAGTCAGGTTCTCCCTAAAATGCAACTATTGCAAAATAATTACTTTAAAAGCAATAACAATTAGAAATAACATTATCTAAAATCTAGATCAAAACACTCTTCAAGCAGTGAGCATGGAAAAAACCAGAAGCCAACGCACCCAAACACCCAAGAACCCGATACGGTCTGTGCCCTACTATTCATTAAGGACAATAGATTATGCCGAACGTTAAACGAAGCTCATAACTGAGTACCAGAGGCATCCGCCAATTACAAGTATACCTCTTGCATACCGAAAACTCCACATCAGTATAAGTCGATGCGCTCGAGCCAAAAAATAAAAACGACTTACTTAAGATTGGCTAGTTGCCCCGTCCGCGGCTCTTGCAGACCACGGCCTTCTTCACGAAGTTTATCTTGCAACAGACGTCGATTTATTGGAGATCCTAATATAAGTCACCTTAGGTTATGAAAAAAAAACCCTTCACATAACTCATTAGCAATAGATTACCTATGAAAGAAAGCACCACAGGAAGAAAGACAAGCCCGTGCAATGCACCAATAATTACAATTCCCAAGAACATTCGGAAGTAGAATACCTATAAAAGGATTAGTATCATAGAAGTTAAAAAAATGAAAAGAGGGTGAAAGAGCAGCACATGATCATCTGTGCGAAAACGGAAAAAAAGTTACCTTGAAAATTTGGGAATGCGCAAAGGCTAACACCAGTGTTCCTCCAAGCATAGTTAGAGTAATTCCAGAAAACACCTGTAAACGAGATAATAGACAAAAACGACAGCAAAGCAGTAATGATTACGCAAATAAGAACTGATTTGCAGTAATGTAAAGCAGTACTGAAAAGTTACCTGATAATGAAACTTCATTTCAGGTAATGAGGACTTACCGTGGATCCCATTTGTGCCAGCGCTTCTTCAGCTCTTTCAATGCGGGTTCGACGAACAGAATGTGTGAAAATCCGTATTATATGAACAATGAACTCCACAGATATCCCAAGCGACTGAAAAAAGTAAATTAGAAATTCTCGTTGAACAGAAAGCCCCATAGGGCAGAAGACACGTGAAGCTCGACAATACTCCTAATAAAGTGAATGGCTGCTCATACAGCATGGCCACACGTTTGCCAATGAACTACTTTATTAGGAAAATAAAACTAAAAAACTACACTAACCATTACTAAATTCGCTACAGAAATTGCATTCAGATCAATTTTCCAGAGAACCATAAGACCAAGCATGTCGACGAGAATACATACGATTATGAGCACTGAAAACTTATTATGTTGTAATCCTGCCTCCAAAAGACTCGGATACAAGGACCAAAATTAAGGTTCAACTGATTATGTACTGAACTGGAACTGGTGTGAGTGACCTTCAGTCCAAGAATGAAAAGTTGAAAGTGAATCGAAAGTGGAATGAAAAGTTCTTACCAGTGATAAAGGCGCTGACAGGATCGAGACCAAGAAGGACACATGTTACTGCATAGACAACCGCTAATGACAAAGTAATCTGAGTACTGGCGTCATAGATAATCGTCGAGTATTGCTCATAGAACACGTAAAACACGCTGAAATTAGAAATAATTTAAACTACGTTGAATTCAATAACTGATCCCCTGACAGAGGAAACGCCAGACCTGTAGGGGAACACGTGCACTTGGCCGTCGAAAGACTGCTCGATCTTACGAGCTACTTTTCTGGCACCTTCCATAGCCACTAAAATCACGGATTACCAGAAAAGAAAGCCCGGAAATCGTCTCATCAACTCATAAAGGGAACCGATAACAAATTTCGCAAGAATTTCTGTGGGCCAGAATCAACGAAATAGTTTGCTAACAATCAGTCTACAGGCATGATGCCCGTCCTCATTTGAGTCATAAGAACTGTTAACTTAAGAGCAACCTATTTCAAAAATAATTATCCAAATTACTTACACGTAAACTCGCGAGATGTGCGTAGCGGAGTATGGTACGTCATGAAATGAGATGCTTGCACATGGCCTCGAGGATTCAGAAGAATTGCATCCTTGAAAGCGGCTCGACCCCTGAAATAGTAGGCTATAGATTTCTAAACTTTTTCCGTTTGTGGAAAACGCTTGACTCACGCAACAATGCAGTTTGCATTCGGCACGTCATCCATGAAGTCTTTCAAATGCTTATAGAAGGGTTCTTCGGTTGGGCGACCATTTCGCTGATTGGGATCACACGACGAGCAATTATAAGCTAAATACCCACTGCTGCTTTACTCACAGTACTTTAGCCAAAGATACAGAAATTTGCGTCGATAAACTTACAATCTTTTCTACTACTCGGACAGAACACATTCTTGTCGTAATTGTACACTTTACAGCAATCATTTTCTTTGTTTAGCCATTGAATCATGTTGTCCACCCAATTGAGAACATTTCCTTTGATGAAAGTTCTAGAAGAAAACAAAAGATAGTGATTAGGTCAGCCATCACTGGACCAGAGGGGATACGTACCTGTCTGAATGAGCAGCAGCTTCGTTAAGAATAGCACCAACTGAATTTTCTGAGCAACCACCAATCGTACAAAATTTGTCCTATAATATGATAATATTCAAAACTAACACAACGACGAGTCGCTTGGGAACCATCAATGCCGTTCTCCATGGAATGCGTCAGTTATTTGGCTTTCAATCGGTTTTGTAAGCATGTTTTGAGGCATATCAGATTTATAATATAGGCATGTTACGTCAGCCAGTCAATAAGACTCAGTGTTTTCCAGACTAATTTTGTACAAAATGGATATCCTGCAGTATAGATGAGATCCGATTTAGAACTAATTCTCATGACCCCAACTGTAATCAGTATTACATTCCACTACCTTATATCCTTTGAATAGCCTGGGTGAACAGTCAGAAACCCCTGAATCCAGGTCGCTTCTGCTCACAAATGTAAGGGGACAACCATGCACCACATCAAAGCAACATTATCTTTGATATCAAACTTGTAGTCAACTTTTCCATTTTCAAATGGCTGGTTGCTATAGGCCCTTCTGAAGCCTGTTCTACTGGTTCTACTGTTACCGACAGGTTTCAAGTTTCCACTAAAAGAGGAAATGGCTCGTAGCCCGTAACTGACATTTCAAGCCTGTCTATGACAGAATGGCGATTGCTTACGAGAAATGGCTCAACCCACTCATTCTGCTAACTGACAGCACACCCAACAGAGGTATAATGAAAAAAGTGATTAACCAGAACAAAGCCATCAAAATTGGCGACTAAAAATTGAAGAAGAAGCGTCATGTATACCTGAATTTGCTTTGTGTGCATATCGAGTTCTCCTTCCACGACAAAATACACTGGAGGGCCAACATTCATGAGACGATCGAGGTTTTTGAAATGGAGATACACGTACGAATCCTTAACTCAATAATTCACATTTATTCAAAATAAAGGCACATTCACTAATAGAGGATAAATTACCTCTGGTACAGCAACTTTCTGGTCAAAGCCTGGATTCAAAAATGGAAAAATACATAAAGAGCAGCAGAACCATAGAATAAACACAACCAGCTGGAATAATGAAAAATTAGGTTCTCAAAAGGACAAAGCGTAGAGGTTTTTATGTGGGAGAAGCTACTGACTAAGGTTTTGGATCCTACAGGTAGTAAGGAAACACTATTCCAAGGGCTACTGTTTGATGAATACTTCTTTCTAGTTCCCACTAGGAGTTCAGTGTAACGGTTTGCTTTCGAAATCGACTAATCACTTTTCTGAAAACATGCTTCCGGCAAAACGCTTGCTCCCGGTGAGGCTCGAACTCACGACCTTCAGATTATGAGACTGACGCGCTGCCGACTGCGCTACGGAAGCCACAACCACGCCTTCGCAAGTGATGCTAATGTGATAACAGAGCAACAATTTCTTCTAACAGGGCACTACTAATCTGTTACTGAGCTTCCCAATACCTCTTATATCGAGCCCGCAAGCCTAATCGATATTTTATAGATAACTTGGTGCGAACAGAATCGAACATACCACTGTCATGCGCATCCATTTCCGCATTAGTTGAGGAGCGGCGTACTTTTGCATCACTTCATAGATATACCCTTCACTTTCAACCCGTTCTGTGTCAAGTTTACGATGATACATGAGCTCCGGCTTTCCTTCCTGAAACGCTTACGTAAGGTTTCATCAGTTCTACAATCTAAACGGGACGTAGGGTGCCCAAAAAACCGAATCCGGACACCGACAAGTCGTTGATGTTGCAGATTCGTTAAAATAAGTCGAAAATTCAGGTATTGTTTTCAACAAAAATTTGCAACAATCTTACCTCTTCACGCTTGCAATCCCATACAAAAATAGCTAAAAATATCGTATGCTGAAAGATAAAGTCGAATATCACGGCGAGACCAGCAAACAGGGAAAAGCCACGTACTGCCGGCATATCAGAGATGGCACCTATACAAAGTACAATAGATAAAAACAAGTAATATTCGATAAAAAATAGAACAATGCAGTACTTACCAACGAAGAAGCATAAGCTTTCCGTGAGCGTGCTTAAAAGCATTGAAGGCATAACTTGACCGCAGACTCGAGCGATTCGATCTTCAACTGACTGGTCCGCAACGTCTTCCAGTCTCTAAACATTACCGCATTCAGTTCTCTTTACAATCCATTACCATGAAGTAGTTAACAAGAAACCTGGTATGTCTGCACGATGATGAATGTTCTGTTTACTCCTACAGCCAAAACTACGAACACAAGTACTACGAGGGCAGCCTTCGATGTTCCGATTCCGTAGAGTGAAAACACGCCAATCGAACTGGAAAAATAAATTAAATAGCCAGTTGGCATTTCCACACTTCGCTTAAAGGGTAACAAGTATGGCTATTTTAGAAATGAAGCCAAATTGATGAGGTGCAATAGCAAACATCATTTCTAATGGAAATCCCGACCAGTTCGGCCATCCTGTTCAACAGTGTTCAGTATTGGCAGTGCTAAAGTGCAACCCATAAAATGAATTAGAGGGCCGATGGAGGAACACAAGAAAGAACATGAAAAGAAAATGAACTTCAAGCACTATTTCCTTTAACTAGTAATCAAAGCAGAAAAGACCAGCTGCACTGGGACCGCGTTCATTGAAAAAAGGGGGCAAATTTGATCTCTTTGACAAACGCAGAAAACCATAAAATGCAGCACAGATCTGTAAATTGACGGACGAGGCGGAATCTCGGCAAAAAGAATTCATAAAACTGCCCGGGATGTTCTTTCAGGCTCAACTAAGGCTCTTAAATTTCTTCAGATCGAAAGCCTACATAACTCTCGAAGTGCTGAGTAAAACACTAAAGAAAAATAGCCTTCTAAACCACAGAAGAGGGAAGAAGAGGTCATCCTGAGATAACCCTGATGTGAATCAAATATTTTGAGAGTCGAGTAAAAAGTTAAGCAGTAAACTTTCGAAACCTCTATGAAACAGTGACGGTAATGGGAAAGGAGAAGGCCACTCCTCAAGCCAAAAGACCATAACAAGAAGGAAAAAAGTGGCAAAATTAGGGGTTATTAGAAAAAAAATCGAGGGTTAGGACTGTAGTAAAAAAAAAACAGGAAATAGAAACACATACCTTGCTGCACTGCACAAGATGATCCCAACACCCGCAATACCAGCGATGATTTTCGAATGTACCAGTAATGAGAGTAAGTTGTTGTCTGTTACAATGTATTGCCCAAGAGCAAACGCTACATAGCCGATCATTAGTATACAACTGATCAGAACTGTATACACGTCCGATGAATTCTCTCTTTCAATTTCATCCTGAAACGAAAAAAATGTATCAAGACAATCACCTTTCAAAGCCAATACCAACAAAGCTTAGACAAGTTGGAGCTCAAGAAAGGTGGGTTAGTGAAATAACAACCCCTAAGGAAGAAAAAGAATCAGGAAATGTCCATAAAATGGCACGCGACTCATTTTTGACATAATCATCACGTTGTGGAGTGCGTCATAGAGCTGTCAACGCTGTCAACCTGAGGAATGCTCCCTTCCAACGTCACCGGTAGTCTCCAACAATTTGTCTCAGTTTTGTCCCCTCCCTGGGAACTAGTAATCATGAGTGAACTAGCAAAGGGCCTCTGTTCTGCATGGTAATTCTCACGCAATAGGGGAATTAATTAATCCCGACGGAAAGATATTAATCACATTGTGCGCTTTGAACCCTAACAAGCATTACCGGATCTTTTCTACATCTTTCATGCAAAATTAAGTACAAAGTTTGTTTCCAAAAAAACTACTTCGCTCCAGTAAATAAAACTGATTTCATGAGAAAAGTTTAGCACCGTTCTGCAGGGTTCATTCTTGTCCCTAGCCTATCATTGCGAATTCCATTACCCAAAGAAAAAAGAAAAAAGTCTCACCGAAATAGATCTTTCTGCCATAAACGACACTTGGATGCCATCATGCTTGTACTCCTTCATCAGGGCGATAAACCTGTAAGGAAAAAAGTGATAAGAACTTAAAGACTACCGATGTGACACATCGTTATCGCTCCAAACGCAATTATCACGACACGATAGCAGCCGTTTGTCATAAACCAAAGATTCGTCCGATAATTGCTTACAAATGAGTAGGCTGTATTGATATGACAGAAATAATAGCGTGTGAGACAATATTGACAAAGAAACCAAAAGCTCTTACGCTTCTTCCCACGCCATGGCTTTCTTCAGATTCGATGACTTGCCGTTGAGCGGAATCGTGATAATCAGAGCATTAGAATCAGTCAGCTGGAAAATTGCCAGCGTTTGAAAAAATGAATTTCATGAAGGAATGTATCGAGCCAGTACAATACTAACCATAGAATTCTCCGATGCACCTCCGAAAACAATCTCCGGATTGATTGGACCACCGTACGTGCCCAGGCAGCTCATTTTTGTCGATGTCTCGATGTTGTAAGGGTTTCTGAAGATGAACCGCATAGAAACTTTGTTATCTGGGTGGTCTCAATAAGATTTAAATATAAAATCAGGCTTACTCGATGCAATCATAGATGTGATCCAAGTAACCCTTCGTTTCCACCTTCTCCTGGGGTGCCTCTGTTTCATCCGCATAATAGTCCAAATCGTCACTTTCATCTTTAGGAGTAGGGGACACATGAGCAGTAACAGAAATATCCAGCAATGAGATATTTTGCTGGAATACAACGCTGATTGCAATATTGAAATCATTCAAGAATATCAAACATCTACAGAAGGAGCAGAACGAGATTCCAAAAAACACCGCGAGCGGACGCGTAACGGTTACAGAATGAGTTGTTATGGTAGAAAATGTCAAAGAGATGACCCAATATACAGAAGTCTTTCCCACTAATGCTTCAGACCGAACCCCTGCCGCACTTTTGAGCAAGATCACATTTAATACCCTCGCAGCTGCATCTACCACGAAAATATTCCAAAGCAGCTCCTCCAATCCTCCCTCAGGGAAGTGTGAGATCTTCTGAGCCAAAAAGACTCACCTGGAAATAATTTGTGGGGCTATAAATAAGGCAGTCATAGTCATGACCCATGGGTCGAAAGCAAACGTCATCAAGCGTGACATGCCTGCCATCTGGCATCGTAGCTGAGATTCCAAGAATTCGAGACAAAATAACAAATGCCTGAATAAGTTTTTCATTTGTTATTCACATTACACTGACGAATTAAAAAAGCTTCAAAACAAACAATTAAGTAATCTATCAAAGATGTTACCTCACGCATGAATTTCTTGTGAAAAACTGCTCCCATCCGAATTCCATGCGGACCATCTACCACCTGTTCAAAAACCTTTGGATACATAATTATTTGTTCTACACGATAGAAGGGCCTGAAATTCAGGTCATCACTTAAGTGTCGAAAAAACAGAAGAGGGTTAGAAGAACGATAAATACTGACCCGAAACTTTGGTCGAAAACCCGTTTCTCCTGACGGGCTAAACTATGTGCTGAAGTCCACATTTCTAAGGGATCATTTGTGAACTTTAGGAAGACATTTCCAGATATAGAAATAACCGCAATGAAGGAGCCAAACAGAAACGCGAACCATGCATGTTGAACGACAAACTGAAAAATCACTTTTTCTCGAAGGTGGAGGTGTTACTGTACATTCTCCAGTTTCAACTGTAAATAAACATACTCGTCCAAACATTTCGCCATTATACTTGAGCTGATCTTGAATCCACGCACCCATTGTACGAATCCGACCCATATTTGTATTAACGCTCTGAAAGTCATTCAACTTTTTGGGGACGATTACGAATTCGGACAATATGACTCACCTTGTAATCTATACGATCCAATTCAGAATCACTTGTACTAGTACTATGAAACAAATGCAAGAAACCCATAAATATGAGCACACCGGCAAATATAAATAATGATCCAAAAAGAAGGAATACTTTACAGCCCATTCCTAGTACTTGACATACTTCCTGAAAAATGAGCATCAGCAAAAGGGCGACGAAGTTTTTCGTGTCGCAAAAGAATAGAGCCGTTTTGCAGACGTTTCCAAGCCGCAGCTAGCTAAACTGCTAAGCGTGATGGATTCGGAAAGTGTATTTTTGAAGCTATGAAAGTGCTCCTTTCGATAGAACAGAGATCTTGAGAAAAGGGAAAAAATCAACCTCAAAAAATCTTGCCATTATATGCCAGTGTGACTTATTTTCATTTATGTTTCACCCCTTCCAGTTTGTAAACAAACCTCCCTTTCCATGATTCCTCCGCTTTTTGCGGGGTAGCTCTATAATGATGGAGCGCCTCCACGATATGACTCAGCGCCGAATAGTTACCAGGGACAAACATGCCGCCTAAGTGTTCCGCATTTGAGTCATGACGGCCCCCCATTGAACGAGCGCTCTCAAACTATTGAAATGTCATAATAGAAAGGCTATGTTTAACCATGGACGAATGAAAGACCCACGAACAACTCGGACATCAATGTAGTAGAGTGGATAAATAAAAACAAGTAGTGTAAGAAACGAGTCTCCTAAATAGCACCCAAAAACCCTGTTTAGGGCTTCCATATCTTTATGGGAACCCTGAAACTTTTCGACTCCAGCCGACCTTCCCAGACGCCGTAGCTCTCTTTCGAGAAGATTTCATGCGAACTCGGGAAGTCAGCAATTCACGCATTTGTTTGCGTGCACAAACATCCCACCACGATGCAGAAATTCCGGAACCGGAAATGCGGCCCAAGTGAGATGCCATTCGACGTGCTTTGAACTTCTCATGAGCATACATCGATCATGTTACACCCCACACCAAACACCGCCATTGTGCTGCAGACCATATATCAGCACATGCACTTGTGTTTTGAGGCATCAGCGCTGCTCATCCGTCAGCCATCTCACTAGTCGGGTGGACAAATTCGATCAGAAATTCAAAAATGCTGGCAGTTGTCGTGAAAAACATCGGACTCCTAAGGGAGTGAACGTCGAGTAACACTCAACAACAGATCACTCAATGAACTAAAGCATCGTTCCCAAAGTTCAGAATTTTGAGCGGCAGAACGTCGATGGTAAGATAAGGATGTGAAACTGCAACCAAAGCATAAACCACATTCAAGAGCACGTGGATTGGTATAGCGCTTAGATTACTCTAAGAAAAACCCGTCGTAAGAAAATGTGAGGGAGGAAAAAAGATTATTTAACTGGTACACACTCTATCACTTTCAAGTTATGCCAAAACCCCAAACCAGCACACGTAGGCGATCAACTGATACGTATCAGATCTTTTTAGGCAAATTTTAGGCCTTTTTTGAATGGCGCGTAAGCCCTTTTCTACTTAATGAACACATTATTTCAAAAACTAGGCTCAAAAAACACTTCCAAAATCGATATTCAACGTGAAGAAAAACATTGTTAACCAGTTCATACGAGTCCTTTATCAAAAGAAAAAAAAAACATTTCTAGGAATCACCTTAGTGCCCTCATCTCTAGGGAATAGGTCCACAACCTGTACAGCTGTGCAGTCCTGTCTGGAGCACTTGTCACGACCATATCGGGGTGACATGTGGCATGGCGTTGTGGATACCGTCATGAAATAATCCGATCCAGCCTGTAGCTCCTCCTTAATCAAAATGATTGGTAATACATCAATACTACGTCAATGAAAGCAAATAAAATATCTCAAACTCGTTTTGCCTTCGCATTTGTCAAGATTTCTGAGCACATTTCCAACTTTCCGGTGTAATGGTTTTCATATTGTATTTTAGTGGATATAAGACATTAGCATATGCCTTCTAATATTGAATAATCTTGCTATTGCTTTCATTTCTAGGTATGGCCACCGATTTAAATGCAATCATGTTACCTCTCGCTACCCAATGCTACACAAAGGTACCACCATACAGCAGGCATACTCAATCTGCGAAATTGAACTGTTGAGACCCAATTTCGAAAGATTAAATCCTTTCATTTCTCTGGCTTCTCGCCCACTAAGAAGAAAACACATGTGAGTCACATATGCAGAAGTCTAGGAATGAGACTCATTGATGCATATGTTCCCTTCGAGCGTGAATATCAACAACTCATGAATGCAAAAGAAAAACAAGAAAAAGGATTGACTGAAGGAAAACGCTTACTATTGGATCGATAATGTTGAAATCGATTCCAAGAGGTATACCGATACGATGATTTTGAGTTCCCATAAATTTCAGCCAATTATCAATGGTACATTCCTCATTTTTCTTTAAACTGCCACACATCAATCGAATCGCTTTTGTGGCACTTCCAGTCATGGAAACCTTAAAATTTCAAACTAACCGAATTATCGTACCTCTTCAAGACATGCCATTGTCAGTAAACAAAAACATAACAACGCCATGTTCACTCACGCCAATAAGTCGTCAATAAGAGGAACAATGAGACAAACATGTACAAAATAAGCGGCACACAAGAAACCAAGTAGTAAAACTTACATCTTTACATGAGTTGTATAATGCATCCGTGAATTCTTTGCTAACATTATACCGTACTTTATTAACATATGATATATTGGCTTCGGGTACGTCAAGCTCTTGTAGAATCTGAAAGTAGCAGATGGTATGAAATTGAATAGGCAATCAAAAGTCATGGAGATTAATCCCATTCAGAGTTCGACGCTACTACAAAGTTTCTTGATTACAAGTAGTCAGTGTTTGATTTTTGGAACGTCTACACTCTACAAAGATCAGTGATCGCTCGCCGCTCGCGACCAGCTATCATTGCTTATCAGCGAACAGCATGAAAGCAGCTGTTTCACTATGGTACTACTACTTTAATCACTACCGATAAGAGAGTTGATGAAAAAACGTGGAAAACTAATCAGTACTGAACAACCTAATGCACATGAAAAAACTTTACAAACGCTAAAAAATAAAGAAAATAAAGTAGTGATCATGAGAAGGAACTAACCTCAATAAATGCATGTTGACGATGTGAGCACGTGAATTCACACCATAATTTTTGAAAATTATCATAACATGATGGACACCTTTCAAGTAAACTACCAGCTTGCCGTAACTGCTTACTCATTGCGAGCACTTGAGCTGATGAACAACAAATACCATCATTACCTGTAAGTAAGTACATCTACCGACTGCATGAGAATTCTACAGTGGGAGTAAAAAGATGCAACAAAATGGTAAATGATGACTGTCTGCTTTTTTTCCTACAGTACAGCACACCCCCCTTAGTGCGTTGATCCAAAATCTTAGCAATGAGTATTTTTTACGCGTGTACTAATCAATAATCATTTAACCCCATGCAATCGACTGTTCGGGGGTTTAAAGTATGAAAACACGATTACGGAGTTAATGAATTCAAGGAAAAAACACATAAACCTAACAAAGCACTGAAAACAAAGCGAAATACGTTGAAATGTCGCAGGGATGATCCGTATTAAGAGGCTACCACTCAAACAAAAATATATATACCCGAAAAGGCAGGAGCACACTGGCCAGGAAAACATTAACAAACAAATACAATGGATAGTGAAAAAAGAAGTTCAAGAGTTACCTTCTAGTAGATGAGGACAAATGTATTCCAGTTTCTTGGCGGCATCGTCGGATAAGGATTGTATAGGCCGCGCCGTGAAATTTTCGTCCGCACGACAATTCATCGGACTTGATCGCTCCATATGGCAAACATCGTACATAACACAATAGGTGAATACTAGATTCCATGTTATAGTGAGCTGTATGAGGTTGACGAAGAACCAGTCACTAATACGCATCGTCGTACACCTTCTTAGTCGTAGCCGTCGCTGTCGTCGTGGTCGTCGTCACGTTGCGACGTTGCTTCTTCACACTAACCTCTGATCACACATCAATCTGAAATCAGATTTCTGATAACGTCATCGTGCCACGCCTACATGACGGGGGAATCATTTTTGCGATAGTGAAGTCAGAAAAGATGTATAAGTGTGCAATGTTGACAAAATGAGTCATGAATCAGAGATGAAGTTTCACACGACACAAGTCACAACAATTACCATCTCAAGCGACATGTTTCAATCGGAAAAGTAGTGCTACCAATAACGATCCACGTCTACATACACACGCTAGCAAAGGACAGGATGGAGAATTTCCGTATGAGACCATTAGGCGCCATTTAGAACTCGTCCATGCAATTCATCATTGTGGCCGTCTGTTACTTCTGGGAGCTTTTCTTGAGCTTACAATCTTTAGGAAATAAAAACAAGAAATAAGCGAGAAAGTAGTCCTATACGCTACCGTACGCTATGGAAGGATTCCTGGAACGAAAGTCTTCTAGGAATGGTGTGATGGGGTTAAGTTTCAGGGAAACAGTCCGGAGGTTCGTACGGAACATTTCGTGAGGCGAATTACCTTCATCAGCTTCTTCAGCCTCCAATCGATAAACAAGAACTACTGTCCTGCGAGGACGAAAGTAGTATTTCTTTGAAAACGTGAAAAAGTAAAGCTTGACGGGCAAAATCACGTCGCCCATATTTGAATGACTGTGTCCAGAATTTCTTGAATAATCGATTTCTACTTAACATGCTTAGGAACCGTGTTAGTCAGAAATTCAATGAGATGCTGATATTCCAGAAGGCTACAGTGGAGCGTAATGCCGAAATCAATACCCAAATAAGAGTGAACCAGCGGACAGATAAATTGGACGTTATTGCTAATTTGGACGAGTTAAACGGTATTGTTGTCGTATATAAAGGCGCTTAGTATGAATTGATTACGATCTTTTCGGCTACACAACGGCTTGTCGGTCATCAGACAAGCCAAATGTGGGTCAGAACCACGTCGACTCCGAGGATGACAGATAGGGGCTAGCGCTAAAAATGGATGTGTTGAAATTCAGCAACTGCAGAAATAGAAGAAGAAAGGGGGCAATGGCTTGATTGGCTCAGTAGGCGGTCTTGAGCGTGAGTCAACGAAGCAATTGCCGCAATTCGACGCCCATGAGATTCGATATGACCTCGTCAGCGATTGAGGGCAAGCAGTCCGAAGATAGGGCAACGACGAGGCCCGTCTGCTCGAAAAGCTAACGGGTAAACCTCATCCAGCTAACCGTCGGGTCAAGGACAGTGTCGCGAGTACATTGTAGCGAAATTGTAGTGACAAATACAAAGTAATTGTGAGTCATACTACTACACTATAAGAACAGCATAGTAAATTGTAAAGCTCTGCATTCAACTGGTTTAGTCAAAAGCAACGTGCCTATCGCACAATTGCATTGTGGGAAATGTCGGACGTGAGAAAAAAAAACGAAACCAGGTCGATACGTGAAATTAACTAAACTAGACCACAGCAAATGAGGATGGACAAGAGTGAAGGATAAACAAAAGAGAGCACATGCCCGGCTTATAGTGATGTATGGTGAGTTGGTGGATGCGAGGAGGCACTACAACTTCGTCCTCGTCCCGTCGTTTTCGTGTCCCCCTCATCGCCCTCCTCCTCGTCCTCCTACTCTGCTCCTCCTCTCGAGAAAGGAGGTATCTTGGACCGAGCGCCGGCCTCGAACGGCGGCGCGAGAGACAGCCAGCCAGCCAGCCGGCCCGCCGGCCTCGCCCAGCCAACCCCCCCTCGAGAGCCGCCGCCAACGCCCCGTCAGGGCAGAGCCCAGAGACGCCAGACAACCTGCTCTGCGTCCCTGGCGTCAAAGAGTGTGCAAATGGGCTCGGAATGCGATTCAGAGCGATTAGCATGTGCCGGCTCATGGTTGAACTCTCTTAATCACGCTGAATGGTGCTCGACATTCAGCCCTTGGGCTTGCCGCCCTAAGCGTTTCGTCGTCNTCATCGTCAATGGTCCGGGGAAATTCGATCTGCACTTCAGTGGGCGTCTATTCCTCAACCTATGCTGTTAATGCAAGGGATATGAGTTCATTTTTTCCAAGGGTCATAAAGCACCCGCATCCACTCTTGCCTGACGCTTCTGATGTGAGTCTGAGCCAAAGTCGAGGATTTGGAGGGGGCGGGTTCAAGAAGCGTTCCAGCGAAACTTCATTACCGCTCTGAATGCCTATCGATTATCCACCATCTTTTGTATAAACTCGAATATATTTGTACTTTAAATAATGCAAAAGGAGTAATGGTGTAAAACTTGGGGTGGCACCTCCCTATAGCACTTTTCATTTTGGGGATGGGCCCACACCTAGACATGAAACCCTATCTAAGCTCCACGATTTAGCATAGAAATCAAGATCATGGCGCAATCTAGAACCGACTGGATTATGACTGATGAATTCTTTATCTAAATAGTTTATGATGTAGGTGGAGCTAAACATAGGAGAATGTCTTAAAAGGAAAATTCGGAATGGATGATGCTCCTATACATACTTGAACAGTTCCTTCTCATGGGCGTGGCATTTAGGGGCATCTAGTAAGCGATCGTAGTTCGCGGGGGGACCTATACGGACAGGCGTCCTGAACAATCAGAATAACTCCATTGCTATGGTCTCCAGGGAGTGGTTGTCTGTTGAAAAATCGCTGTAAAGCGACAAAGTCCTTTCAATTTGATCGGCAGCCTGCGTCAGACAAAACAATGGCGCGGCGCGTATGCATGGCATGCGATCTGGCGAGTTTCCATGAAAAGCCGATCATCGAATTGGAACGTTTCCAATTCCAATGGGCTGGAACAGCTTGGCACATAGGCCATGGCCATGAAAGGTCCACCTATCAAGCTCGCTTCTCATTTAGGAGAAATTTGGCGTCGTAACCGGTTATTGTGCCTCATATAAATCATGGAAAACAAGCGATGAGAACCTGACTGGTTTCACTGGAGAAAGAAGAAGCAAAAGGCAGAGTATGAAGTGAACTTTACAGGAAAGTGAGTTCAGTAATGGAGGAAAAGTTAATGGGTGGACGAGATAGTAACGCACGCCCACGTGAAAAAGCCTGCCATCGGTACGTGACTGTCTATCGAGTGTACTCATAGATGTAGAGTTAAATGTAACTCATAGCACGATGAAAACCTATGCAACAGTCTAGGAACAAGTATCGATCATTCTTGACATGGTACCAGTAGAAGTAGTCATTTTGTCATGTAACAGATGTGCAACAAGTAAATAATTGCTACTGGTCGTAACAGAAAAGTGACCGATGAAAGATATTTAGTTGTAAAACAAATGATCGTTCGATGCTCCCGTTTCAGAGGCAAAAATGAATGGAGGTAGTTACCTTTCTGGCCTCTAAGGGACCAGAAACACACCTGAGGGGGGTTCAGGCCCGGTCGCAAGTTGGCGGCAGCTTCACTGAATCACGTTCACGTTCTATTTACCAACTATTTGTTGACACATTGGCTGATGTTTGATTGCATTCGGTAGGAAAAACTGAGGGTTATTTGTGCTTACACAAAGAAACGGCACACCTCTTGAAATTGGCAGAAGTACGTCAACCTGACCGGATTCGTTTACATACATTTCTGCTGGCTCTTATTAAAGTACATTTTGGCTCCTATCCGGATGTAAACTGGTAAAACAAAAAAGTGGACGAGTTATTCTCGGATAGGCCAATCATTTCACATACTTTCGTTGTCGTGAAGGCATTCAAACGAGGTTTTAATATGTGAATGACTTGGTGGGATCAGCTGATGCTCAGCTGGAATCTCTAAACTCTCCGCCGAAGTTGCTATTGACAACTGGCTCAGGCAAGAGGAGAGACTCGGACTGAACCGACCTCTACTCTGCTGCAACTCACTTGAAGCCTTCCCTATCGCCCTTTAAATTCAATTTTTCTTGAGCCTTACAGACAGCCCTTGAAAAGTTCGAACCCGTAACGAATTGTTTCCGTTAGAACTTAAGTAGAAAGAATCGACCTCTTTCCCATTGCACTACATTGCGAATATCTAATTGAATATACTTATTTGAGCCTTTTCTCAATAATTTTAATTAAATGATTTTTGCTCTGCTTTGGTAAAAATAAAGCAGCTGGTGTACTTGTTGACCGCTATCTCACGGTGTAGTCCTTGCTTTTAATTATCACCAGCTGAACCCTAATCTCAGCGTTTTTAATTTTTCCTGATCACAGGCTATTTAAGGAGGGCATTGATGACTGAGCAGAAGCCCTATTAGGGCCTATCAAGGTGGCTTGACTTCCGAGTCTCCATTCGGAAGCCGGAATTCCGTGCGTGGAGCTTTACAAGCAGTAGGAGCAAAAGTATTCCATTAAATATGATCCAAACATACATCGCTGTGGGATTTTACTAAGAGCGTAGGCTCCAAGCTTTGCCCTAGCCTTACCAAGGGCCATCTGGGAGTTGTTCCAAGGAGGGAGCTGATCCATGGATCGATTAGTGGACCATGCGGGTAGTAGAGGTGGCCGCTAGTTAATCCCACAAGGTCGCATTGATCCTGCTCAACAAGTAACCAAAATATCAGAAATTACAAGTTCGAAAAATAGTGGCCTCCCAAATGGGAGCTTATAGAATACCCAAAAAGGAGCTTATAGAATCGAGAATTGAAAAAAGGGAGATATTGTCCTAGAACATACCAAACAACTATGCCTAAGGATTTACAAACCTTACACGAGACTTTTCCAGTTACAGTTGTGAAAAACTTCACATATACAATATAACAACTACTAGAATTATACTAGTTTGCAGAGAACATACTAGAACTTTACTTGTTTACAGCGAGAATTACCATATAAGAGATATCTCTTGGAATTGCTGTTCGGAAGTCGAGTAATCCAGACATGAAAAGGTCCAGACGAACTTTCGAGAAAACAGGGCTGTCTGGATAATTGTGTTGAGCCTCTAATGCTAAAAATTGTCCCTAATTGTGGTCAAGAACGAATTAGTAAGGAAAGCAAGTACAGAGCCTGAAAGCCGAGGAAGGGCATTCGAAGGGTGTCTGGGGGACAGATCTTTGAACTGCGGTTGCTCAGGACCCGTGTAAGCAAGCCTTACACCTCTCTCATGTTTATTTCACATGGATCGCCTTTGTACATGTTTACTTGAAGGCACTTGCATGTGAAAAACGACGGAATTCATGATCCTCACACATGAAACTTTTTCGGCCACAGTAGCAAAAAACAATAAATAATAACATAACAACTACTACAGTTATACCACTTAACAAAGCGCACCATCGAGGATTTACTTGCTTACGTAGACGATTCAAAAATATCATATGGTAACGAGAAAATCGCATAGAAAATAGCCGTAGTGGCCACGATGGCCAGAAAACGTCGTGAACATCGTGAAAGTTCCTTTGTGAAGATAAGTGCAATGAGGCAGGTTGATGTGGAGAATAGACGAGCGAAAAACCAACGAACTGAAAATATTCGCGGAAGTACTCTTGGGAGAACAGAACTTAGTAGGGGGGGGGGCATAGCAAAATATTTCCCGTTGCACACGTACATAAGGCGCGGCGGCGGCCTATGCGTTCCGCCTCTTACCAACTTCATCATACTATTATGGCTCATTCAGTAAACGGTGTTACTGCATAGTTACTGGTGCCTGATACTTGTTGATGAGATTGCATTTGGAATGATTCTCTGATGAGTTTGCTAATGTGATGACGTAAAATGGGCAAAAGAAGTCTATCGACCATCAACTACAGCATAACTTCACCCAAGGTAACTGGTTCTAGTTCTAACAAGTACCTCATGGAATCCAATTACAAGTTCAAAAAGCAACTTATACTACTGAATAAACGGAATGAATTCGAATGAAGTGAATGTAAAATGAGCTGTCTGCTTTCCAATAGCCTGGGTTTGACACTTTGAGTGCAAGCTTACATGCAGCAGAGTAGATTGAATTTATACTGGTTACTAGGTGGTGTGCTTGCGTTTTCATTTGAATTCTTTAGCAATAACGAACCTATATGAGGAAGCCTGGAGACAGTGTAAATGGACGAGATATCCGTGAAAAAGGTGATATACACTGGAAGTAGATATGCTCGTTGCATACCATAGCCAAATATATACATAAATCCGTCCATAAGGGTTATGCCTGAAATAAAGACCCATGTAGTGCTCCGGATAGTAGAACTATCCGTGTATAATGCAGTGGTAAGAGGCGCCGTTTTGAGGACATGGTCGCGAGTTCGACTTCTACGCCTGATCAGTCGATTTTCCTATGCTTTGAGTGGAATATTCTGATCACTCTGGTTTTGGGGATCAAATACCATGCCTAGCGGATCGTTTGAAAGGTTCCAAATAGCGGAACGTTACTGATAGATGTTGAACGCGCGACATATTCCAGAACGATCGATGGTGTCCTGCTAGCTATCCTTTCCTGGGCTCATTTCCTCAGATATTAGGCTCCCATTGAGCGGAACTACTATTTTAGTTGTATGAGAAGCGAAAATCAATGTGCGAGGGCTCATAGCGGACATATGTATGATGAGGCTATCAAGTTTCTGTCGTGCAAAGTACGAATGTTTCCATCAAAGAAAGCGGCCCCCTCTGAATGATGTATGAACTAAGCAAACCTTACTCTTCCGAGTAGAAAGGAAAAAGTAAGTAAGTATAGATAGTACTGATAAGGGACACGGAGCAACCGATGACGAATTTTCTTGAACAGAAGGCTACGGTGATGATCTTCAAAGAAAAAAGATGATCCTCCGATCACGATTTTCCTCAGGAAAACCCTGAAATCCGTGGAGCCAGCAGCTCATGATGTGTTCTTTGCACTTGTACTAAATCGCTTTCTGAGGTTTCATATTACCAGTAAGTAAATAGATGCAAATGTCGCAATAGTGGAAGTGCCAAGTGGCACTCTTACAACTATTAAATCCCAGATCCATCCATTGTTATTCAGTGTAAACTTTGAAAGCACAACTTTTACATCAGCTGTGTCGATATATTCGAAAGGACAGTAGGGGTCAAACTTTGGGACCAATATGCTCACAAAAAACTAGTGGTCGTACCGGAGTAGGATACGTGGCGCATCCTCCACTCCACGTGGAGAAAC